CAGTCGCCGTTTTTTGCACGAACATGTATCTTATCTTGAGCATCAAGGCCTCCTACATTCAGCCCTTTGCAAGCCGCGTTTTCAATTATCAAGCCTCGAGGCCTAGACTATGAGGCCACGCGCGGCCTCACCCTTCAGCGTGGCGGCCTCGGGGTAGGAATTGAGGATTTTTTATCTTCAGAGAGGTCTTCAGGTTTGTGGTGTTAAGGATCTGGACTTCAGGGTTTGGGGTATTGGGCTTTGGATCTTAAGGTTCTACTTTAGGGCTCTGGGTTTTCAGTGTCTTGGCTGAAGACCGTGTGCTGATAACAGAAGCTTCGGGGATACTGACGGAAAGTGGTGTACTCATGGAAGTTCTTGTGCTCATCACGGAAGTTCGTGTACCAGCCGCGGTAGCAGTGTACTGAACTGTAACGCTACCATAAGCTCGTTTGCTCGCCTTTCCTGTCGAGGGGTTTCTTCAAGCACCGTCTTTTGAAGAGTCCTCTGGCCCAGTAGAGAGATCTTAGCTGTGCCTTTCAACCCAAAACAGCCTTCTGGATCCCTTTATAAAGCCTATAGATCACTTATAGCGCCCTTGTTTGTGAAACCTCAAACAACCTGAAGAAAGATCAGGCGTCGAGACGGCGGAGCAGTGTTGCACCGCCTGCGAGTCGTGGGAGGACTGCAAGGTCCACCAGGGTTTAGGGTTTGGGGGTTTAGGGTTTAGGGCTTTAGGGGTTTCGGGAAACCCCTAAACCCTAAACCCCTAAATCCTAAACCCTAAACCCCTAAACCCTAAACCGTGGAATATGAGCTTTTTTTTGTCAGTGGCCTTGCACTTTGCATGGAGTGATGTGGTTCTTACAGGGCTATACATAATTTGGTAGGGCTTTGAGAAGCTTTGTAGACTTCGAAGTATGCGGGCTTATGCCGTGACTGCAGGGTTTTGGGGTTTACAGTTTTGCGGGTTCAGGGTTTCAGGGTTTTTTGGCAGGGCTTGGTGTACGGGCCGGCATAATTACCAATACTCTTCCTTCCCCTATTTCTCAAACGGAGGCCTCGAAAGGTGGGATGAAGGCAGGTAGAAGTAAGGATCCCTTATATAAGGACTATTCTTTGGGAATATCCCACCTGCCTTCACCCCACCTTTTGAGGCCTCCGACTCAAGGCTCGTGTGGTTCGGGGGTGCCGGGATCTCAAGCCACCCACCCCCCCCCATACCAGTACCGAGACCTTCGACCAAAAGTTCTGAAGTCCAAATTCCCATAACCTTTTGTTCCCATAAGCAAAGAATCCCCCGGTTCCTGCCAGTCCGAAGTACCTAGTTATCTTGTGTTTTGTGTGTTTGGAGTTTAGGGTTGCCCCCCTTGACCCCCCAACCTAGCTTGGACCTGAAACTGTAAACCCAAAACCCTAAACCCTAAACTATAACACTAAACCCTAAATGCCTAAACCTCTAAACCGTACACCCTAAACCCCCGAAGCCCTAAACCCTAAACACCCAGCCCTAAACCCTAGACCCTTAAAAAAAGACAACCCTTAAACCGTAAGCCCTAAACCCCCAAGCCCGAAACCCTAAACCCTTAAAAGAAAGCCAGCCCTTAAGCCGTAAGCCCTAAATCCTCAAACCCTAAACCTCGCACCCCGGTGCTCTTCTGAAGCGTTTTTTTCGGCCCCGGCAGAGCCCTTGGCCTGGAGTCCGAAAAGAACAGCAAGACCTGGGGGTTTGGGGGCAGACCATACCGTAGCAAAATTGTGGGGGTTTTGGGGTTTAGGGTCTAGGGTTTAGGGGGTTTAGGGGTCTAGGGTTTTGGGGTATGCTATACCAGAATGCTAGGCGTTGTTGTTGCGAACCTGTCAGGTTGGCGTGTGGGACGAGTATTGGCACGAGCAGCTTGGACTTTACCTCAGGAACCTAGGGCTTGAGGTGTCGGATTTGGTAGCCTCTTCATGCTCTGTCAGTTTACAAGGGCTTAGTCATAGTTTAATTATGCAGACCCTTGTTGAGGGGTTTTGGTTCAAGGGCTCCGAAGATTTCTCTCAAGGAGGGTGTTTACTTTACGTATCGTAAGCTACGGTGTCCTCCTCGTTATGGATAATGCAAGGTTCTGCCCATCAGCAGCCCTAAACCCTAAACCCCAAACCCCAAACCCTAAACCCTACACCCTAAACCCTGAACCCCTAAACCCTAAAAGTATCGGAGCTTAGGCTGTTGGGACTTGACAGTGTGCGTAAGGGCTGGGCTTGGAGACAGTTTGGGGTTTGGGGGGTGGTTGAGCTGAGGGTGCACGGGTTCACCACCACCACCAGGGGTTTAGGATTTAGGGGTTTAGGGGTTTAGGGGTTTAGGGCTTTAGGGGTTTAGGGTTTAGGGCGCCGTCACCACCGCCACCCTGTGAAGTACAAGGCAACACCTTTCATAACAATGGCCAGGACAGCAACAGGACGGAAAATCCGCAACCTCGGTGCCATTGTATTCCGGGATGAGAGATTCTGCAGTGCCCCAGAACCCTAAACCCTAAACCCTAAACCAGCCAAGGTGCTACTTGAAGTCTGGCTTCGTTTCGCGTCGGATCAGCACCAAGCCGCCTCTGGGCTGCTGATAGCCTTAAAACCCCGAACCCCCTAAGCCCTAAACGCGCCATCCAACATGGTCCAGACGCCTGGTTTTGATGTTTGCCTGTTTTGTTTGGGCGTTGCATCTGACTCTCAGTGCTAAGGCCTATCAACCCGAAACGCAGTAGCGAGAAGGAGAAGAGCCCGGGAAGCTTACTGAACTCCCCCTCTGAGGGCATTTAATTTGTCTGTTCATCTACAAATCTAGCATGTCCATCTCCATCCCTGCCTCCATCTCCATCTCCCATCTATGTCTCTGTCCATATCTCTGTCCATATCTCCATCTGCATCTCCATCTCCATCCCTGTCTCCATCTCCATCCATGTCTCTGTCAATATCTCTATCTCTATCTCCATCTATGTCTCTGTCCACATCTCTGTCTCTATCTCCATCTCCATCTCCTTCTATGTCTCTGTCCATATGTTTATCATCTCTATCTCTGTCTCTATCTCTATCTCTACCTTCCTACCCACCCACCCGCTATCTATCTACCTATTTACCTATCTATCTTTCTATACAGTATCCATGCCATGCCTCCGTCTATCCCTGTTTCCATCTATCTCAGTATCCGTGTAGCCATTTGATCTGTGTATTTTTGTTTGGATATGTATATACATACACACACCTATGTAGATATGCATACATATATCTATATATACACATACTATATATGTATGTATGTATATATATATAAATAAATAAATAAATAAAAATACACACATTATTTCCTGGTACATGTATTCGACTCCCCTTTGTTTTTCAGATACTTCCCTTTGGGGGATCCGGCTCTGCATGGCCCCCTTGCAAGCCCCGCCTAGCCTTGTCACAATGTCATGACAGATCTGCGTTGTACTCGGTTTAGGGTTTAGGGTTTAGGGTTTACTTCAGATCTTGCGGCGCAGGGTTACGAGATTAGTGGCGGCCTTCGAAGGTTGGAGATTGGCAGTTCATGCAATCCGTGGAGTTACTATCTCCTAAGTCCTAAGAACCTAAAACCTCCAAACCCCCCAGCCCAAGCCCCATAATCCTGAACACCCGGCCTTTTCTGCAAAAGGTGGCCCAACCAAAAGTAACCCAAAACCCCTAACCCATACCTTCCAATCTCCCTTAAACTAAACTAGGTAGGATCCCTAGATATATTCCTGAATGCCCTAAAGCCAACCTTGAAGGCAAAAACCCAACCTTGCAGCCTAAACTGTCCAAACCCCATTCGAGAATTTGAATCCTCGTCCTTGCCCCTAAACCCCCATTTGGGAGTTAACACCCTTATCAGTCGGGGGGTTTTGGGATTGAAGCCCACCTAAACCCTAAACCCTAAACCCTGAACCCTAAACCCCAAACCCTAAACCTTAAACCCTAAACCCCTAGACCCTAACGGCTGCGGCCCAAAAGAGGCTGGTCGGCTGCATGGCGAGGGCGAGCAGCCCCGAGGCTTTCCTTTAGGGTTCAGCGTTTTGGGGTTTTGGAGTTTAGGGTTTAGGGTTTAGGGTTTAGGGTTTAGGATTTAAGGTTTAGGGTTTAGGGTTTAGGGGTTTGGGGTTTAGGGTTTAGGTTGAGGGTGAGGGTTTGAGGATACTGAGTGGGGTTTAGGCTTTCAGGGTTGAGGGTTTGAGGGTTGAGGGCTTTAGGGTTTTCGAGGTTTGCCTTTTCAGGATTTGTAGCCACGCTAGTTATTCTGCCGTGAGCTTGCCAAGTTCTCCTGAAGCTGTCCTTCAACTGTGCACCATACTAGTAGCCCCCAAAACCGCAGAATGATGGTGTCGCCTGTAGGCTACAATTGTCACTAGTCTCGTTTCGAGAGAGTCCATGCAGAGTGTTTGTAGAATACAGGTTTTAGGGTCAAGGGTTTACATTCCTCTGCACTATCATGTGGATAACAGCAGCGAGGATCCTGTTGGGGCGGTTGATATAGAAGCCCGGATAGTTAGTAGTAGTGCTATTCCTTACTCTACTCTAACAACCCCCCAACCCCTGCTCTTATGTTTAAAGTGCTGATCATAATTGCTGCGCCAATATCGGATCTTGTGTGATTCTTGGCAGCTCTACCCTGGCCTCACTACTTCGAGACACATCTATAGCTTTTGTACACTTGGATGTACCGCTCGATGTGCTGCTCTCGTAGAGCAGAAGAGTATGATGATGGCGGAGGTGATTGCTAGAAAAGAAGATGCGGAAGGTTGTGAAGATCATATTGGTGATAATGATGCAGACGGGGATGCTGATGCCATGCCTGTGCTGACGCTCTTGATGATGGTTCTGATGTTGATCCTATGTCTCGGCACCTGGATAGAGGGTGCATGGCTCCCAACATCGCCTGCGAAGCCCGACAAGGCAGGACCCCCGCAGCCGATAGCAGCAAGTGACCTCCGGCCCTTCCTCCAGCTGATCCCTTCTTCGACATCATGCCTTCCACCGCCACCAACGTTGCCATGGCTGGCGTCGGTGCCTTTGCGGCAGCGGGTGCCTTGAGCGGTGCCTTCGTGGCGCCCGCTGGCACGGTCCAGCACAGTGAGCCTCAGATGCAGAGGACCAACCTTCGCGCGGCGGGCTACGGCTCCTCGCAGGCTGCTGGTGTCGGTGCCATGGCTGGGCTCGGTGCCGTGGCCGGTCTGGCCGCAGCCGGTGTGGCTGGCAAGCGTGCCAGCAAGGGACGCACCTCCATGCAGGCCGTGGGCGTCGGCATCAACGGGTTCGGCCGCATCGGCAGGCAGGTGGCCCGCATCGCCATGAAGGACCCGGAGACCGAGCTGAAGCTCATCAATGCCAGCTACGATGCCGACTACCTGGCGTACATGATGAAGTACGATACGATTCATGGGAAATACGATGGAACCGT